GTGTTGCACGCGGCTGTTGTGGCGGGCGTTGTGGTGTACGCAGGCCTTGTGGTACACGCGTGTAGAATTCTCAGTCGCTCCACTTTCCATAGAGACTCTTGTAAAACATGTAGCTAACACATTTGTTTGTGGAATTCAGAGGCGCCCCACTTTCCATTGGGATTCCTTTATCCAGCAAAGGTTTGTTGTGGAATTTCCGTAGCCATTTTGCCTCAAGCCAGTTCGGCTCAAGCAGCGGGCGTGGCTCCGCGCGTCAGCCGCGGCTCCTCGTGCTCGAATTCGGCCGCATCTCCCGTGGGCACCGGCTGTTGGAAGCGCTGCGTCATGACGACCCCCACGCTTCTGAGTGTGACGTCGCCTCGGGCGGTCGATGCTGGTCACGGCGTGGAGTTCGATGCGGAGGCGCAGGCGCAGAGCTGCCCCAGACTCGCCGCAGCCGCCGCCCAGGAGCCGCGGGCTGGCAGCAGCTCCGACGCCACCTCCAGCGCCTGCGACGCCGCCGAGGTCAAGGGCGGCACGCGGCCCGAAAAGTCGGCGCGGTTCGAGGCCGGCGTCCTTGTGCTCTCGGCGCTCCTCTTGGCGCTGTTCCTGTCCATCGACCTGGACCCGGAGAGGCCCGATGCCTCGAAGGCCGCGGCCGTGCTCCTGATCACGGCCCTTTGGTGGTTCACGGAGATCCTTCCTCTGACCATCTCCAGCCTCCTGCCCCTGGTCCTGTACCCGCTGCTCGGGGTCGTGAAGATGAGCGAGCTCGCAAGCCGCTATTTCAGCGGCACGTCCTTCCTCTTCGTGGCTGGCTTCTTCATCGGTCTGGCCATCGAGCGCTGGGGCCTGCATTCGCACTTCGCCTGCTGCATCGTGAGTCGAGCCGGATCGCGGATCGAGTTCCTGATTGCCGGTTTTATGGTCAGCGTGTGGTTATTGAGCATGTGGATATCAAACACAGCGACGATCCTCTGCATGCTCCCAGTGGCACGGGGGTTCCTGGACACCATGCCGGCGGGTCACGAGGCATTTCAGGGCGCGTTCTTGCTGGCAATGGGCTACAGCGCGACCATCGGCGGCATCGCCACCCCTGTGGGGACCCCCACCAATGGTATCTTCATGGAACAGTTCGAGATCTTCTGGCCTCTGGAGGGCGAGTTCTCCTTCGCGAATTTTTTCCTCTGCGCCCTCCCCCTCTCTTTCGTGTTGCTGACGATCGTCTGGATCGGCTTCTGCGCCGTGTTCGTGTGGGGTGCAAAGGAGCGCATCCCCATAGACCGGGAGGTGTTCCGCGGCATGCAGCAGGAGCTGGGCAAAGTGACCTTCGATCAGATGGTGGTGGCAGCGGACCTCCTGGTCCTCATTGTGCTCTGGTTCACCGCCTCTCCCATCGGCGGCTTCCCTGGTTGGAAGCAGTACGTCGCCAGCGAGCTCAACAGCGGCTCCATAGGCCTCGCACTGACGCTGCCTCTGTTCCTCCTGCCCTGCGGCGCGCGGCTGCCGGCGTCCTGGCGCCGGCTCGTCGGGGAGGAGCGCTGCCTCTCCCGAGTGCCCCCCGCGGAGGGCGAGCAGCGGGCCCGCCGCATCCTCGACTGGGACACGGTGAAGGGCAGCTTCCAGTGGGAGATCCTGTTCGTCTTCGGGGGAGGCGCGGCGATCGCCCACGGCACCGTCCAGTCAGGGCTTGCTGCCTGGGTCGCCGAGAGCCTGGGCGCGGTGCAGGCCGGCGAGACGGCCTTCCTGCTGATGGTGGCCTCGGTCATCTGCTTCGTCACCGAGGTGGTGTCCAACATGGCCACCCTGTCGATCTTTGGCTCGATCATCGCGGCAACAGCCCAGCTCAAGGGTTACAATCCCGCGCAGTTCCTCCTCGTCGTGACGTTCGCCTCCTCCTTCGCCTTCATGCTGCCGATGGCTGGCGGCCCAAACATGGTGGTCTATTCGACTGGCAAGGTTTCCGTGACCGAAATGGCGAGGTACGGGCTCGTCCTGAACCTCCTGGCCGTCGTCCTCGGCGGCCTGTACATGGCCTTCGTGATGCCCACCCTGCTCGGCTCATACTCAGACCTCCCGGCGCCATCCGCGGCTGCTTGAGCCAGTCGTGGACCAGGAGGAGGGGGATGGGGACGGAGAAGTGTACCGATTAACGGGAGTCCTGCATCCCGCGCAGAGCGTGATAGATGTGCCCGCTTGCTTCTTACAACAGCGAAGAAGCAGTTTCAAGGAACTCGTGTGCAGAAAGTGATAGACGTGCCCGACTTCTTTTTCCATGCAGCAGCGGAGATGCAGGTTGAATGATTTCCTCACGTGGCGCTTGCATGAATTGCTCTTGCCCGACCGCTGCGGGCCCACAACTCGTCAGGGTCTACTTTCCACTACGCGGCCCCCCACAAGTGGGGGCCAAGCCCACAAGTGGTGGCCAAGGCAGGCACGGTCCCGCAGTCAGGAGGCCCCTGTTAATGGAGGGAGCGGCCTCGACAATCAGACGGCCCCCCCTTCCAGAGGTAGCCAGCGGGACACTGCGTCCCTTCAGCGATGTTCCGATGCTCCACAAAAAATGCTGTTTTTGTGGAACTCAGAGGCGCTCCGCTTTTCATAGCGATCCCTTTTGAAAGTCAATATACCAGATTGGTGATCTGCGGAATCCAGAGGCGCTCCATTTTCCACAGGGCTTCCTTTAAAAATCCTACCGTAAACAATTATTGTCTGTAGAATCCAGCGGCGTAATCTCATAGTCAAGAATTGTTGTATGGGGAATCCTGAGGTGATCCAGTTTCGCGCTGCTGGCGTTCTGGCGCACGCAGGCAAGGCGGTGTATACGGGCGCTAATGCGCACACAGCTGCTGCAGTATACACTGCAGGCACTGTCGTATGCAAAGGTGACGTGGTGCTGCAGCGCACGCGGCTGTTGTGGTGTGCGGAGGCACTGTGTGGTATCTACACAGGTGGCGCTGTGCTGCGCGCAGGCATTGGGCATTGTCGTGTGCACAAGGAGTACGGTGCACACAGGTGATTGATGCGCCGGTGGCGCGGACGCACCCCAGCGGGCGCACGTCGCGGCCGCCGTCACCGTTACCCTCCCGACCGACCCCCCCCGGTAACGGCCGTTACCCGGGAAGGAAATCATTGTCTTTCCCAGGTGTCGGGGCCTTTTTTGGAGGCGGAGGCGCCCACGACGACGGCCACGACGACAACGGCCGCGACGACTACGGCCATGACGGCCGCGACGACGACGGCCACGACGACGGCGACGGCGACTGCGACGGCGACGGCGACGGCGACGACGACGACGACGATTACGACGACGACGACGACGACGACGACGACGACGACGACGACGACGACGACGACGACGACGACGACGACGGAGGCGACGACAACTAGGAGTGCATCTTCGGACGTCTGGGCTCGTGGTTCGAGGATCGGTGTTCGTGCACGTTCTGGGCCTTACTGGGCCTCTTTGGGCGCCCTCCTCGCGAGAGGCTGGGTTCGCCCCGAAATTCTCGCATGATCGGAGTTCTGGACGGTCGTCGTCGGTGTCGCAGTGCCGTGCACCTCCCTTCGGAGAAACGTAAGACTCGACTTCTCCGGAATTCTGATTTGCCGACGCGTTTTGACGTGCCCGTCTAGGATTTGGGCGGTCCAGCTTTCTTGGGGCTTTAGCAGCGGAAGCCCAGGTCAAATTTTTCAAGCTCGGTCTCGCCATTCTCCTGACGGCCCCGTCAGGCCAACCCAAGCCCCCCGAACCGGAGTGTTCCTGGCATCGCTCGGACGTGTGCATTTTTTCTCGGCGGGGACCATCGAGGACCATCCTGGACCATCGAGCATAAAAAACACACACGAAGCCGAACAATGCACGGGACATGGACGTCCGAGCGATACCGAGTGTTAGGCCTGAGACCTGACACTCGGGTTCGGGGGGCGGGGAGACCCTCCCCGACCCCGAGCCCTGGGGGAGGGGTCGGGGAGACTCTCCGACCGACCCCTCCCCCAGGCAGGCCTACGGGTGAGGACAGAAGTCGCCCCGAAGCGCTCGCAGGGAGTTTTTGGGGGCGCCTTGGGACGGCCGCGGCGCCGCAGGCGTCCTCCGCGCCCGCTGGCATGCAGAGCTCCCCGAGGGGTCGTCGTTGTTCGGGCTTCTCCTCGGCCGGCCTTCGGCCTGCGCGGGGTCGGATGGGGCGAGGGAGGGGTCTCAAGAACGGGGCGGCGCACGAACTCTGCTGGATGCCGGTTGGTTTCGTTCCCACGGCCGGGCGCGCTCTTGCCGCTGCGCTGGTGCCTCCGGCAGAGCTGAGAGGCGCCGGAACAAAAAAAACAGTTGCGCGAGCCGATTCTTTTCAGCATTCTTTTGCTATCCCCCCCCCCCTCTTCGTCTGCCCCCCCAAACGGAAGCGGAAAGGTGGCCACGAGACAGAGGAGGGTAGAGTCAACCCGCACAGGAAGTATGGGCAATTTTACCAACGGTGCCCTTGCATCCTTGCCATTTCGGCCCATCCTTAGCGACTTTCGCTGGCCAGCCTCGTTCGAAAAACGTTCGCGTGGGCCTCCAAGTCTCTTGCATCCTTCATTACCGCGCACCCTTCTGATACAGGTCGACCGAATCGAGGTTCGAGATGCTTTCGGCCCTTGGGATGCCTTCGGCCTTCTCGTGCCTCCGCAGGAGCGCCCTCGCCGACGCGGCTCTCATCAGGCCGATCTGGGGCTCGCGCGAGGCCGCCTTGTTGGGGCCCATGAGGCTCTTTGGGGACCCTCTCCCCACAGAAGACTTGAAGGAGCCCTGCCGGGGAGCCTCGGCACCCTGCCGCGCCGCAGCCTCGTCGTCGCCGCCGCCGGCCTCGTCGGCGTCGGCCTCGTCTCCGTCGTCGGCTTCGTCGTCATCGCCATTGGCCTCAGCGTCGGCGTCGGCCTCGGCCTCGCCGTCGGCCTCGTCGCCGTCGCCTGCGGCCTCGGCCTCGCCGGCGGCCTCGCCGTCGTCGGCCTCGTCATCGCCCTCCGCGCCGCGGGCGGCCCTCCAGGAGAGTGGTGCGGCTCGCCAGCGGCGCTGGGGGCGCGCCCGCCCCCTCCCCCTCGGCCAAGGGTCGAGTAGGGGATCGAGTACAGAGTTGAGTGACCCCAAATGTCATTTTCCGCCGAACCTGCGAAACTACGTAGGATGTTCCGTGGATCTACGGGGCATTCGACGTATCCTTGGTGGACTCGACGGAAGAATTAATTATGTTGCAAATCAATTCCTCAGTCGATCCCCTGCTCGAAAGGGGGGCAGCGAGAGCGGGGACGAGAAGTCCGAGCTCTCAATGTGCTCCTGGCCCTTGGTGCTCCCTAGCTATTCGCCCTCCTTTGAAAGGCCCCGGGGCCTTCTGGGCCTCGTGAAGGGTTCTCTGGAAGCCGCGGGGGCCTCCTCGGAAATCCAGGGGGCACCTTGGGCCAGGGGCATTTCTAGCAACACCCGATCAAGATTCGAAGAAGGAACCATTCCAGAAACATACACTTTTGACGATCCGCGCGAATCTCTTGGATCGGCGCTGGGCCCCTCCCTGGCGGCACCTGCAACGCTGCCCCTGGCGCCCTCCGCCCGCCAGGGAGGGGGGGGGTCCAGCGCCGATCCAAGAGAGCCGTGTGGACCTTCAACCGTTTATAACATGTGTGTATCTGCACTTGTTGTCTGTTCCTCTAGGGATGGTCAGGGATAGCTCGTCACTAAGGCAGCGGGGTGGTCAGGGGGTTATCAGGAAGAGCTCGTGATTCGTGCCTCCCGTTTCGGTGCCGGAGTTCCCCCCCGATGGTGTTCAACCCGAGATTCTCGCATCACACTCTGCCCCGTGTAGATCTTGTCCAGAACGTTCCTGAAGCAGGAGTCATCGTGGATCAAGTGGTTCCAGGGTGTTTTACCGGATCACCTATGGGGATCCTATGCGGACCAGGTCTACAGTCAACGCGCCTAGTAAGGACGCGCGCCTTCATCTAGGGTGCCCTTGTGTCCTTGCCTCTGAGGTCCGTCCTTGCCATCATCGCTGGTCGCCCGCCGCCCTAAAAAACCCAACTTCGGCCTCTAAGGGTCTTGCGTCCTTATCACCCGTCCTTAATACACTCAGGAGGGGAAAAAACACAGACACAATTAATCGTCCACTCCCAGGAAAATATGGGAAAATATTGGAAGTGGGGGGGAAGACAAAAACTCCAAAAATATGGGAAAATATGGGGAGCATTTTTGTTTGTGTGTATTTTTTTGTGTGTCCTGGGGCCCCTTCATACACGTTTTAACTGTATCCCCGATAGTCCCGGCCCCCGAGAGGCGGGGGCGGCGGGCGGGAGGGAGGGAGGACGAGGAGGATCGGAGGAGGGCCGGCCGAGACAGCGGCGGCCCTCCCGCTCTGGGCCTCCTCTTGGAGGCCTCTCCGTCGCCCCGGCCGGAGCCGCCCCGACGGGTGGCTCCGGGGGGGGGGGGGACCCTAACACAGGGCTATAGGATCGGGATAAAAATCGCTCCAGAGCGTTCCGGAGCGCTGTCAGAGCGTTCCGGAACGCTCTGGAGCGGCCGCGGCGCCCAATACATCCTCCAAACCCGCCGATTCTCAGAGATTTCGAGTTATCCCGATCCGATTTTGTCCCGATCTTCGCGTCGTTTTAGACCCCGGGAGGGGCCGAGGGACGATGTTTGGGCGGGCCCGGGCCAGACGGGAAAGCCAGCCTTGCCTCGGGGGTGGACAGAACCCCCAACAGTGACACGTCGATGAGTGAATGGTCCGTTTTCGGTCCTCGAGAGGGCGCCGCGGCCGTCATTTTCCAGGCTTGCGCCCGCCAAGTTTGGGCCTCAGGTCGTTTTCACTACACCAAACATGGACGTCCTGGGGTTCCAGGGTTGGGTCTCGAAGGTTCCTGTGGTCGAGCTCCTACTGTATTCCGTATGCCACTCCTCCTCCATCCTCTGCGCGCTTGGGCCTCCCTCCCTGCCTCGCCCCTCCCGTCCCGCATCCCTCCCGCAACTCTCCGTCGCCCGCCCCCCTCTTCTCCAGCTTCCCTCCTGTTTCTCCCATGGCCCACGGCCCCCCATTCCTGCTCCTTCCTATCCCCTCCCTCCCTCCCCCCTCCCCTCCCTCCCTCTGCTGATCGCTCCGAGATGTTGCAGTTTCGATCTCCACATTTCGAGCGCTCTCCCTGGAGGCGATGTTGGCCGCAGGCGTGTGAGCGCACGACTGCTCTTGTGTCGCACTTGCGCGGCACGGCGTGACATCACGTACACCAGAAACGCACGTGCAGGGCCGATCCATTTCCTACAACTACAAGTCTCGTTACACCAGGAACGCACGTGCAGGGCCGATCCATTTCCTACAACTACAAGTTTCGTTGCAGTGGACGGGGCAAGGCCGAAGTCGAGCCGCGGGGAGCTTGTCCGCGCCCTCCAGAGCTGAAGCCAGCTCATCGCCATGCGCGGGCAGGGATGCATTCAGCCAAGAGCTCAGCGCGCCCGTCAACTCCGAAGCTGCCGCTCAGCGATGACGCATCGTCAACAGCCACCCGGCGCCGTCGCGTTGATTGCGACGATGCTTGCAGGTCCCGGGTCGCCCGCGTGGTCGCGCTTCCGCCCTGGCCACGGCTCACTACGCCCGCGCGAGACGCCTCGGGATGGCTACGCCCAGCCTCCGCCGGCGGGATGCCTTCGGCCTAGAGCCAGCGGCCCATGAGCGGCGCCCCTCGCCACCCGCCAATATGGCCCCTGCCTCCCGCGCACTTCAGCGGCAGGAAGGTGCAGTCAAAACTAACAGTATGACGACCTGCGACGATGCCGAACTTGAGGTCGGCACGATCAACGCCACGGATGTGCCGTGGGCGATTTCTCTCGGCGTCCTGCGCGGCCGGTGCTGGACCTCGGGCCCCTGCACAGGTTGGCCCGTGGTGAGACAGCAGCTCCCGACACAGATCACTGGAGACGCGCAGGTCGTTGAAAGCAGGTATTTGTGGATTCCCAGATCCCAGTCTACTTTAGGCGCCTTCCTACTTCAATCCTCGAGTGCTTTCTCCTGTTTCTTCCTCTTCTGGCGGCGGGCGGGAGCCCAATCCCCTTCCAACGCCTTCCTACTTCGTGCCTCTACCCACCTCTTCCGACTGACCACCTCTTCCGACCGAACACATTATTGAATCGCTTCGCTCATTCCGCCGGCCCATAGTGTAGCGTCGCTGGCACTTGCTTGCGTGCTCGGGGGGGCATTTGGGTGGCCTCCTGGGGCCGCTTGGGGGCCTCTTGGGGGCCTCCTGAGGGCCTGTTGGGGGCCTCTTGGGGCCTCTTAGGGGCCTCTTGGGGCCTCCTGGGGACTTCTGAGGGCCGAGGGCTCGAAATATTGTTTCGTTTTCCCCCCCTGGGGTCCCTCTTGGGGCGTTCTTGGGGCCCTCTTGGGCCGTCTTGGAGGCCTCTTGGGCCGTCTTGGAGCCCTCTTGGGCCGTCTTGGGGCCCTCTTGGGGGCCTCCTGGGCCCTCTTGGGGCGGTCTTGGGGGCCTCTTGGGCCGTCTTGGGGTGTCGTGAAGCCGAAAAGGTGGATACGCCAAAATCTTTCCAAAACCTAAGGAAAAGCAGTGAATTTTGCCTCTTGGGGCCCTCTCGGGAGTGCTCTTGGAGGCCTCTTGGGGCGTCTGGGGGCCATCGTGGGCGTCTTGAAGCGATCTTGTGGCATCTCGGACCCCTCATGTAGCATCTTGGGGGCCTCTTGGAAGCCTCTTGGCCCTTCTTGGGCCTCTCGGGGACGTCTCGGAGCCGCGTTGGTGCGCTGCTGGAGCGCCCTGGTGACTCCTCCCGGGACTCTCTCGGGACCTTGCCGGGGTACTTTCCGCCCGGGGGCCCCCAGGGGCCGCCCCGCGCGCGCGAAGTAGAAAGATTGTAAAGCAGTCACCGGAGATCTTAGCACGCCTCTGACCACCTCTTCCGACCGAACACATTATATAATTTATGGGATTTGTTCGGTCCCGATCGGTAGCGATTGATCGGCTCTTCAAATCGTTCGTAGCCGATTTGAAAGCAAATCGGTGGCGGCCGATAAAAGAGTTTGAAGCAGCGTCGGTAGCGACCGATCGACCGATCCATAGTCTGTCGCGACCGGAAACATCTGGCATCCAACGGTCAGGGCAGGTTGGCCCGTGGCGAGACAGTAGCTCCCGACAGTGGGGGTGATACCTCTGGGGCTCGGCGTTGAAATTGCGCAGCTTCGAGCCCTGATTTGTTTCTCGCTGTGACGGCGAACAGCAGCCAAGGTTTTTCGTTGCTTTGGGATGAGGGGGGGGGCATCTGGAGGCCCGTGCCAGGCCCCAGGGCCGTCTGAAAACGACTCGGGATGAGAAAGCGCTCGCGGGGAGAGGGCCGACACTTCTGGTGGGACCGCGCTCCGAAACAATCACGATCGCGTCGGAGGTCTGGGGAAGCCTTGGCATCTGGATGATTGGTGCTGTTGCAGTGCCACCCTGGGGGGGGGGGGGGGGGGGCAAAACAGGCAAACGACACCCATGCTCCCTGGACCTCTCCAGGGGCGCGTTCCGACAAAATTTGTTTGTTAGTGATCCTGCCGTGGCGACGAGGGATCTCCAGGACGAGCAGCGGTATTGCCTCATTGGTCTCATCTGAGCCATCGTCTTCCGCGCGCCCCGCCTGCAGCCAATTCGAACGGTGCATCGAGCTGGCGGCGTGTTCGCTCGCCTTGGGCCTGCTGCACACCCCGCAGCCATGGGCGAGGAGGAGGTCGCCGCCCTGGTGGTGGACAACGGCAGCGGCATGTGCAAGGCCGGCTTCGCGGGCGACGACGCGCCGCGCGCCGTGTTCCCCTCCATTGTCGGCCGCCCGAAGATGCCCGGGATCATGGTCGGCATGGACCAGAAGGAGAGTTGGCCGTGGGGGGGGGCTTAGAGCATTGTGCTTCCGACCAGCAGACAGGGGGTTGGAGAAAGGGGCCCCTTGGTGGCCACGGCTGGACGCGGCTCAACAAATTTGTAACTTTCGACCCAGGGAGGGGTCGGGGGACATATTTTGAGCGTATTTGCATTCGTCCAACCTTGATCGATTTTCTCGGTGCCCATCCAGCGTAGACCCCCCGGCCGCTTCCAAAGGACAGCTACGTGGGCGATGAGGCCCAGAGCAAGCGCGGCGTCCTCACCCTGAAGTATCCCATCGAACATGGCATCGTGACCAACTGGGACGACATGGAGAAGATCTGGCACCACACCTTCTACAACGAGCTTCGCGTGGCCCCGGAGGAACACCCCGTGCTGCTCACGGAAGCGCCCCTGAACCCCAAGGCGAATCGCGAGCGCATGACACAGATCATGTTCGAGACCTTCAACGTGCCTGCGATGTACGTCGCGATCCAGGCGGTGCTCTCGTTGTACGCTTCCGGACGCACCACAGGGATCGTAATGGATTCTGGCGACGGCGTGTCTCATACAGTGCCCATCTACGAGGGCTACGCGCTTCCCCACGCTATCTTGCGCTTGGACCTGGCGGGGCGGGACCTCACGGAGTACCTCATGAAGATCCTCACCGAGCGCGGTTATTCCTTCACCACCACGGCCGAGCGCGAGATCGTGCGCGACGTCAAGGAGAAGCTCTGCTATATCGCGCTCGATTTCGACACCGAAATGAAGGCCGCCACAGAGAGCTCCGACAAGGAGAAGACGTACGAGCTTCCCGACGGCAACATCATCACCGTGGGCAGCGAGCGCTTCCGCTGCCCCGAGGTGCTGTTCCAGCCCAGCTTCGTGGGCAAGGAAGCCAGCGGCATTCACGACACCACTTTCCAGGTCATATGTCAGGAGGGAAAGAAACACACAGACACAATTAATCGTCGATCCCCCAGAAAATATTTGAAAATATGGGAAGTGGGGGGGGGAAGACAAAAACCAGAAAATATGGGAAAATATAGGGGGATCTTTTGATTTGTGTGTATTTATGTGTGTGTCCTTGGGCCCCTTCCATGTGCCTGAAGCTGGGTTCTGGGAGTCACACGCAGGGGACTCGGGCGCACGGCAACGTGGGGGCAATCAGCGTCGGGGGAGCGAGGATTTGCAGGCGTGTGGCCCCTCCAGGAGCCTGAGGCGCCCCCTAAAATGGCCACCACCGCGGGCCCAGAAGGTGTGCAAACGTCTCGCGTTTCTTCACCTCGCGTGTTCCTGTCCAAGGCGTTCCTTTGCATGCACGTCGCTTTCTGCACCGCCCGATCCCGGGGCTTTGCCCTCTCCCGGCCTCTTGACGTGAGGCCCCGCCCTCTTTCTCCCTTCCTCAGTAATTAAAGCTGTGCGCGGCCCGCTTAGCTTCGACCGGAGGAGGCTCGCTCTCGACCCGCGAATCAAAAGTGTACGGTCAAGACGCTGTAATGAAGGACCGCTCGGGGCTCGGGAGGGGCTCTGCGTTTCTGACCGCTCCTGAGACCCAGGGTGGCGAGCCCAATCGTGGCCGAGGCTTGCCGTGGCCAGAAGAGCCTCTTCGTTCGTCATCTGATTCTCCGCGTGGCAACATAACGCCTGTGCTGCCCCTCTGCTGACGAATAGCCGAGGGTCTTGCCGACGCCTTGATGTGCGGACAGGACCCCCCCTGCCAAGTGGAGGCACCTCGCGGCATTCGCGCCATCACTCGCAGTTCGCTTTCTCGCAGCCGCAACGGGCGGAGTGTTTCACTTCGGAAGCTGACGAATAATGACGAAAAATGTATGCACCAGTATCCCGTATGCACGAGGATCCGCTTCCCCGTGCAAGTTTCAGTGCAGGGCCGGCAAAAACCTCGGTGTGTAGAACCTGTTCCCGTTCTGCTTGCGAACAAGTCCCGACGGAGGGCTCTTGTAAGTTTCCGGTTTCGAAGGGCCCTCACTGGGCCCCAGGACAGTCCAAACACTGGTCGGGACGAAAGCCGGTCCTTGGGAAGGGGTCGCGGGTACGTAGGGTTAAGACGGGCCTGTCTCTCTACAGGAGGAATATTCAAAAATGGTGAAACAATAAACAGGGGAGGATTGTTTGACAATTTTTGAGCATTTTGGGGGTACTGTTCGAGTATGTTTAATTCTTCGCCCAAAATCCCCCTGTAGGGGGACAGGCCCGACCGAAACTTGGGGTGAACACTCGCAGACTTCGCTTGCTTCTGCGACGGCGGCATGCACACGGCCAGGAACGGTCTGCTCAGCGTGCCGCGCCGCCGGGTGCCACCCCACCACGCCTCAGCTCGACGCGCGAAGCACGCCCCAGTCCCCAGGCAGCAGCGTTCCGAGCGTCTCCGGGCCCCAGGCAGCAGCGTCCCGAGCCTCTCTTGGAGGCACACGCTCCTCCTCCTCCTCCTCCTCCTCCTCCTCCTCCTCCTCCTCCTCCTCCTCCTCCTCGTCCGAGCGCCCAGCGTGTCGGAGGGGCCGGCGTTGCGGCACGCTGAGCGAGACGTCTTCGCTGCAGCTCGGGTTTCCAGGGCACAGGCCACATAGTGCCAATCTCCTCCACGGCGGGACCCCCCTTGCGCCCCTGGCCTCCACAGCGGGGCCACCTCATTGGTGCCGCTCTCCTCCACTGCGGGACCACGGGGCTCTTCTGGCCTCTTGGGGGCCTCCTGGGGTGGGGCCCCGCTGGCGGTCTCGGGGGTCATCTTTAGGGTGAAGCCCCCGATCACTTCGCTTTCCCTCTCTTCGGGGCACTGTTGGGGGGCTAGGGGGCCCTCTTACGGCGGTCTTCGGGACCTCTTGGGCCGTCTTGGACGCTCTCATGACCAATATGATCATGCTCCAAGAAGCCCCAGAGACAGACACGTTGGAAGTGTGCACCCCCACCACGCCCGGTCATGCTCCACGCCTCGGGAACGCGCAGGAGCGCGCGAAAACTCGGGTGAGTTCGGGGTCTTGATCATTTAGAGGAGAGTTAGAGAGTATTTGCGATTCGCAGTAGGGGGAATCCGCATGTACCCTGCCTGAGGACATTCCACTCCGTGCCTCTTGGCACGGTGGCGAATATTGAGCGCGATGGAGTTTAGATCATTTTCTTTTCTCTCCCACACCCCCAGGGTGCGGGGTGCTCACCCTCAGTCAAAAGACAACTCCCCAGTCGATCATGAAGTGCGACGTCGACATCCGCAAGGACCTGTACGCCAACGTGGTGCTGTCCGGCGGCACCACCATGTTCCCCGGCATCGGTGAGCGCATGACAAAGGTTGGAGGCGTGCCAAAGGGAGGTGAGGCTCGTGCAGGTCTTGCACGGGGGGAGGGCAGTCTGACGAGAGAACGGGGGGTCTTCTTTAAGAGGGGGGCGGTCTTCTTTGCCACCCACGATTCGCACGTCTCCAAATAGTCGGAGAACAGCAATCGCAGGAACCTCAATTTTCGGGGAGCTCCAGGCGGATTTCTTGGATTGGCCTCTGGGCTCCCCCGGCGGCGCCTCCAGCGCCACTCCTGGAGAGGGGGGCCCACAGCGCCGATGCACGGGATCCGCGCGGAGCTCCGAGAACGTGCAGTCAACCCGCGTAAGTAAAGAGGGGCAACCTTCCAAAGGGTGCCCTTGCAGGAGGAGGAGGATTGTGCTAGGATTGTGCTACTTAGGACTTACGCAGATGGGCACCACGCAAGCCGCCTCACACCTTGCAAGCCGTACTTACATAGGCGTTCCTGGTGAATGGCCGCACTCCCATAACGAATCAGTCTACCCTTGGCCGTTCTCGTTCGGGATGGTGGGAGGAGGAGGAGGAGGAGGAGCCATCCTTGACCGCTTTCGTTGGCCGCGCCCCGCTCGAAGAGCTTCGAAATGGGCGCGCAAGGCCCTTGCATCCTCCTCGCGCAGCCGCTTTGGGCCCCTGCCTTCTCGGCCCCCAAAGTCCGGCGCAGCGCACTTTCCCAGCTGCGCCCCGCTGCCGGAGTCTGCCACATCGCTCGGGCGTCGTGGCGGCGGGAGCTCTCCTCCCCGGGGGGGGGAGGCACTTGCCTTATGTCGGGCGTGTCCCCCTATAGGAGGATCTTCGACGAACACAATGAAAATATCCCAACAATATTCCAAAAAGGCAGAAAAATACTCAGACTATTTTTGGAGCACTTTTTGATTATTTTTGAGGTATTTTTTATTTTTCGTCGAAAATCCCCCTGTAGGGGGACAGGCCCGACATAACACTTGCCCCCGCCGCCGGTTCCGTCGGCGCTGTCGCCCACCCCGCTCGGGGGGGGTGCTGGAGGTGCCCCTGGCCCAAGGTGCCCCAGCTCGCCTTTGCGCCGTTTTGGAGCCTCTGAGACCCCTTTTGGCTGGGGGCTCGACTACAGAACTGATTTGCCCCAACACCGATGTTCATGCGATTCTTCAACAAAAATACGTCAACCATTCGTAGATCTGCGAAAGTTCTGCGAATCTATCAATTCTGCGGCGAATCAATTCTGTAGTCGATCCCCTACTCGAACTTTTGGGCCTCGTGAGGAGTGCGTTGGAGGCCGTGGAGTCATCCCTGGAAAAATTCTGCGGTCACCTTAGGCCAGGGGCACTTCTAGCAACACCCGACCCTCGCCTTCCCCCTCTTCCCCCCTTGGCCCCACCGTCCCCCCCTCTGGCGAGCCGCGAACACGTCCGTGCCCTCGTCCTCGCAGGTCGGATCCCGGGGCGGCGCGATATCCCGCGGATGCGCGGTCGCACGTGTGCGCTCCGCGCGGGGCAGCCGCCAAGAAGCGTCCCGTATCCGCGGGGTCGCGGCCCACGGCCCCGGCCCGCGAGGCCGAGGATATTGGATAATTACGGTTTTGGCCCACGACCCCCCCTGCTATTCTGGCGTTTTGTTGGCGCCATCCTGGAGTACAATGCTCAGTATCGTCTACCATGTCCCCATCCTCACTGGGCCATGGTATCGCAGCCCTACGGGCCCACCCTCCCAGGTGGGGATAGGCCCGCGAAACCCGAAGGAGCAGGCATATATCTCCACCTAGTTGGGTAAGTCGGCCAGTGGGGCCAAGGCCGCACCAGTGGGGGTTGGGATCAGTAAACAGATGCTGAAGCGCCTCCTTGGCCCTTGCCTTCTTGCGCCGCGGCCAGCAAAAGGAGCTGACGGCGCTGGCGCCCTCCACGATGAAGATCAAGGTTGTGGCCCCGCCCGAGCGCAAATACTCGGTGTGGATCGGCGGGTCCATCCTCTCTTCTTTGAGCACCTTCCAGCAGATGTGGATCTCGAAGGGTGAATACGACGAGTCGGGCCCTACCATCGTGCACAGGAAGTGCTTCTGAGGGGCCTGCCCGAAAAAACACCCAGGGTTTGCAACAACTGGCGTCGCCGGACATGATGGATGGAGGCGAGAGCTTGTTTCGCGCTCTAAGGTTCACAACCGGCGGTGGTAGTGTTAATTCGCAGTGGCTGCGTTGTGCTCTGCCAGCTACGGAGCTGGTGGGCCTGAGGCCAGATGCCCATGTAGTCGACGGCACAGGGGCGCAATAGTGCGTGGATTCTTCAAAAGTGGGTTTGCTGCTATCAAGCGCGAAACGCCCGTTCGACGACTCCAGTTGCTGTGCCGTACATGTGTGTGCGCTTCGCCGTGGTTTGGAAAGTTGATCAGGGGCGTTGGAGCGTGGGACGGCTGAGTCGTTGCATGGTCGTCGCATTGTTTCTTGGAGGGCTCTTGGAGGTTTCTTGTAGGCCTCCTGTTTCTGTTCTCTTTGGGACCTCTTGGGGGCCTCTCGGGGAACTCTCGGGCCATCCAGCTGTCTGAGGGGGTTCTGAGCTGACCTGGGCGTCTTGAGCCTAGTGGGTAGGGGTGTCTTGGGGCCGCCCAGCATGCGTCCAAGAAGCCAGCACGCCTCATTGAAAGAGTGTGTCGCGCGTGATTCGGCAGCTGCCATATCATGCTCGCTTGAACACGATGTGAACAGTCTGTCACAGGCGAACGTCCCAACACAACAGCACCGCTTAAGCTGGGCGCGCAACAGCCAACGAGATACACGCATAACCATATACATATTTACGTATGTATGCATGCATGCATGCATGCATGCATGCATGCATGCATGCATGCATGCATGTATGTGTGTGTATGTATGTATGTATGTATATATGTATGTATGTATGTATGTATGTATGTATGTATGTATGTATGTATGTATGTATGTGTGTTTGTATGCATACATAAATGCATGCATGCATGTATGCATGCATACGTGCATGTATGTTTGCATGTATATATGTATGCATGGATATTTGTATGTGTGTATGTATGAATTCAAGCGTGCATATATGTGTGCACGTATGTATGTGTGTGGCTGCATGTATGTGTGTGTATGTATGTATGTATGTATGTATGTATGTATGTATGTATGTATGTATGTATGTATGTATATGTATGTGTGAATGTATGTGTGTATATATGGGTGCATGCATACATGTATACAGGAATGCAGGTATGTATGTGTATATGTATATATGTGTGTTTGCTTGTATGCATGTATGTATGTAGGTGTGTGCGTGTATGGGTGTATGTATGTATGCATGTACTTATGTGTGTATGTGTGTATGTATGTATGCATGTACGTATGTATAGGGCATGTAGATATGTATGCATATGTGCATATATGTATGTATGTATGGATGGATGGATGGATGGATTGATGGATGGATTGATGTATGTATGTTTGTATGTATGTATGTTTGTATGTATGTATGTATGTATGTATGTATTTGTATATGCATGCATGCATGTATGTATGGTATTTGTGTATGCATGTATGCCTGCATGCATGTATGAGTGTATGTGAGTATGTATGTATGTATGTATGTATGTATGTTTGCATGCGTGCATGCATGTATGTATGTATGTATGTATGTATGTATGTATGTATGTATGTGTGTGTATGTATGTATGTATGTATGTATGTATGTATTTATGTATGCATGCATGTATGTATGTATGTGTGTAGTATGTATGTGCATGTGCATGTGCATGTGCATGTGCATGTGTATGTGTATGTGTATGTGTATGTGTATGTGTATGTGTATGTGCATGTGTATGTGTATGTGTATGTGTGTATGGGTGTAGGTATGTATGCATGTATGCATGTATAGATAAATACATATGAGTGGAGTATCTGTATAAATCGAATGGCCTTCGGTCATCCCGCCACCGTGCTCGGAGGCTGCGGTGGAGTCGGGGTCATCCCGCCACCGTGCTCCGGCCCCTTCCGCTGCGGCTGCTTCGCGTGGAGACCGGCGCTCGCCACTGTGGTGGACGTCGGGGGAGTTGTGGTGCAGGAGCGAATGGGCCGGAGGTTTCGGTAGCGTTGGGTTTCATTGCTACGTTCGGGTATGGCCAGGACCTGTTAGTGGTAGGGCCCCGGAGCCTTTGAATTAGCCAGAAACACTAAACCAGGTTTGCCATAGCTGGTGTTTTTTTCGAGTGACGGCAGTTCCGGTTAGTGGAAATGGGACGGGGGGGCGCCCCCAGTACAGATCACTAAACCAGGTTCCACTAAACCCAGTTCTACCCACGCCCGATACGTTGCATCGCAGCGTGCTGTCGGGGCTCCAGAATGGCTGGTGTACGTCTGCTTCAGCTGAGAGTCAGTCGAGGACGCATGCGCCATGAGCCATCGTGTTTGCAACTCCACGTGAAGCACTTCGGGAGAGTATGGCTTCCAGTCTGAGGCGCATTGGGAGGAAAAGATCACGGAGTCGTGGCCAATCCTTCGGGCCTTTGAGACGCTCGGGTATCTTTAGTGTTTGAAGTTGGAAGCGCCTGGCCGTGGCTCGTTGGAGGGTTCAGTCGCTGAAGCGAATTCGCGTGACCATGTTGATGAAGTTTCCTTCTGGACCTCGTCCAGGGTGCATCTTCAAGAGCTCTTGGAGGCTCCTTGTTGTTCGGGGGCCTCTAAGGAGCCTCTTGGAGGCAGTTTGGAAACCTCCTGGGGCGTGGTGGGGCAGTTTGGGAGCCTCTTGAAGCCTCGCTTGAGTCTCTTGAAAGCGTCTGGCGGCCTATTGGAGCCATCTTGGACGCCTGCTGGTGGTCTCGAAGGACCCGGTCCCTTTGGGCGGAGAGCTCAAAATCTCAGGTCGCGTTTCCCTTTTGGGGCACCTCATGGGTTGCCTTGGACGCTTGTTGGGCCGTCTTAGGGCTTTGTTGGGGGCCTCTTGGGCAGTCTGGGAGCGATTATGGGTACTCCATGGGCCGTAGTTGACGCTGTGAAGGCCCAAACAGCGAATATGCGCAAACAGGAGGTTAGGGCTCGCTTAGGGATGCTCAGTGAGGGCTTCGGAGGCCTTCTTGAGGCCATCTCTGGCGCCTGGGAGCGAGCTTGGGGAGATTTTTAGGCCCTCTTGGACCGTTTTGCGGGCATCTTCGGGCCATCTATCTAGGCAGGTTTGGGAGTCCTCCTGAGCGAGGTTGACGTCCCTGTGGCTCACGCAGAACACCCCAGAGCGCCCTGAAGCGCTTGGGAAACCAGCGGTATGGGCCCTTGAGAGTTCTAGAAACTTTTTACCTCTCAGGCACTCCACTTCGTGCGGAAGGTAAGGTAGCTGATGTACATCTGTACGTTCAATCACTTCGCCCATGCCGCTGGCCCACACTGCATCATACTTACGACTTGCCTGCGTGCTCGCGGGGTCGCCGCGCGAACCTCGCGAGAGAGAAACAAACAAAAACACAGAAAGAGAGACAGAGAGAGAGAGAGAGACAGTAACAAGGTAGGGGCACGACAACGCTCAACGGACTCGCCCCCACCGACGTTCCGTCAGTGCATCCTGCCACCGCGCCTGTGTCGTGGCTCAGGGGGGTGTTGGATGCTCTGCGGGTTCTCCTGGGGTGCCTCTCGGCGGCCTCTGGGGGGCTTATTGGGGGGCTGGGGGGGAAAGGCTCACGGGGGAACGCGTCGCTCCTCACTCGCCCTCTCCTCGTTGATATGGGCCCGATGGCCCCACCCGCCCAGGACTGTGCGCTTTCGCTATCCATGGGGCCTCTCTCTCCGATCGGGCTGCGACGTGCCGCCGATCCTGGGCCGGGGGCTTCCCCTGCGCCAGCAGCCCCCCCCCCAAACGCCCCCCCTTCACGTCCAGCGCGGGGCACGCTTCTGGATCCGATTCCGTCCTCGTCCCTGTCTCGTCCCTCTCATCTCCCCTCCTCCCAACGCGGGGGTGCCTGGGCACCATGCCCAGGCCCGCACATCTCCGCCGCCTCGTGACCGCCCTCGCTCCCTGCAGCACGCCTCCGTCGGCCCCCCCCCCTCGTTCGCGCGCGTGCGCCTCGGGCCCGCGTGCGCCCGCCCCCTCTCCTCCCGGCCCCCCTCTCCGGCTCGCCGGCCCCACACGCCCCTCTCCCGGCCCCCCTCTCCTCCCGGCCCCCCCCTCCCGGCCCCTCCCCTCCCTTGCCCAGAGGGCCCCACACGCCCCGACGCGACGCGAACACTTGGAGACGCGCTCGGCAACCACCGAGCGTGAGACCGCGCGAGAGCGACCTATCTCGACGTGGTGTACCGCGGGAGCGGCCTGCGCACGGCCGCTCAATCATCTCGCGTAAAGGTCCCCGCTCGTGGTCCAGGTCGATCCGATCGATCCGACTCGGCGTCGAGTCCGGCTGGCCCGATCTGGTTCCATTGGTTTGTCTTCGGCGTGAAGGACACGGGCCTGGAGGGAGACAGGTCCTGAAGCTTTCCGCAGGTGTTGGCCTCCTGGGGGCCTCCACTGGCCCCGCGATTGTCAGAAAACGGCCCAGGATGAAAAAAACAAACAAACACATTTTTTCCCACAGAAATGGTCTTGTGGGAAGGCCCCAGGGCCTGGGGTCCGTTTCCTTCGGGACCCGTCTTGTTTTTGCTAGTATTCCGAGGATCCGATGCGGCCCAACGTTTGCATGGCGCCTTTGTGCACCCAGGCGCGGCCAATCCGATTCGATCCCAGCTCCTTGCCAGCTTGCCAGTGCGGCCCGATGTACCTTCCGACCAGCTAATTCCTCTTGACTTGATGCCGATTGATTTTGCATTTGCTCAGCTCAGACGTTCGGCGACATGTTTTTTCCACTGTGCACCTTATGTAGATGATTTGTTAACAACTTGGCGGGACTCATTTACGACAGACTTCAGTGGGATTCATTCACGACGCGAGGGGTGTCAACGATCGGAAATCAAGGATCGCCCTCAGACCCACAGGGTGCGCTCGTTCCCAGCCTGACACATTCCCCAAGATTGGCATCGCCTTCTCTCGTTGCTGACCTTCAGGATTCCCCCTGTCTATGAGGGCGCATCCCCAAGATTGTCATCGGTTCTGGCTTGTGTTGGCAGCGTGTGCTCTGGCCAGGATTTCGAGGCTGATCAAGCCTCGGCGGCGATCCACCACTGTCGGCGAGATACAGAACAAAAAAGCGAACCATCCACAGCAAGTGGCCATGGCCGTCGGTCCTCGCCGACCCCCGTGCCGCGCAGGCACCTTCGGCGTCGACGACATCGCCGTGGCGTGGGCCACGTCGGGCGGATTCTGGGAGGCGCGCGCGCGCCCCCACGCTGGGCTGCAGCCGCAGCACGCCGGAGGGGGCAGACACGAGATCGTCCCGACCCCCATCATTAGGGGAACAAGAAGTGGCATAAACATAAAAACTCGGAGGTTCGCGCGGGTTTCTCGGATCCGCGCGGGACCCCCCTGGCGGCGCCTCCGGCGCCGCCCCTGGCCGCCCCGCGCGCCAGGGAGGGGGGGTCCAGCGCCGATCCGAGAAATCCGCGCGGACCTCCGAGTTTTTCTGTTTATGTCACTTCTTGATCCCCTAATCATTTAACCCAGGTCGGCCGCGGGGGGCACAACTCGCGCCTCGCGGCCTGGGCCAGAGGGCGGCTGCCCCCCTCCAGTGGGAGCGCGCGAGGGCGCGAGGGCGCGGAGGCACTCGGGCACCGGCGGGGCGCGGTGCGCAAGGGTGAAGTTGGGTGACGTTGGGCAACTGGCGTACACTGCATAGTCCGCGTGCCCGCCTCCCCGCGTGCCCCGTATCCTCCGCCCACACGACGACCCCACTGCGGCCAGCAGTCCAGTCCAGGATGCTGCCCAGGAGTCCGTGCAACCGCCCCCGACCCCCCGAACCGACCCAAGGGTATCCAGGGACGCTGGGGCAGCCCTCGCAAGGTCCCAAGCGGGCGCCAAGAGAGACCCCAGAAGGCTTCAAGAGGGCCCCCCGAAGTGGCACAAGGGAAGCCGAAGTGGCCTGCCCTGAGTGTGGGGTGGGAAGGCCGACGACAACGACGTCCCCCCCCCCAACACACCTCCGCCTCCCTCCCCCTCTGCCTCCGTCCTCCCTCTCCTCCGCATCCCTCCTCGTTTTTTTTGCGCTTGACCCGAGCTCGGGCAGGGCCACCAGCGAGCTTCACTGCGGTTGAGCTCCGGCATGAGGTGCTCGCGCATGGCGCCGAACCCTCTGCTTTGGTGACCGCTTCTAGCACGGGCAAGGCCGCCAGCGAGCACCACGGCACGATCATTCTTAGTAAGAGATAACGCTCACGTGCGTCGCCACTTAGAGTAGCAAATATGTGCCCCCCCCGGCTGCGGCATGTCCCTGGCTCGCCAGCTTTGGCCCCAGACCGACGTCTCATCCGCGCCCCCGGACACCCCCAGCAGCAGTTCCCTTTCCTATCTCCTTCCATCTCCTCCCCCTCCCATACATTCCCACCTTCTCCGCCTCTCACCTTCATCGCCTCCCATTCCCTCTTCTCCCTCCTCCTCACCTCCCTCCGTCCCTCCATATAGTGCACACCCCTGGCACTGATCCTTGCATGGAATCGTTTCGCGGATACCTGAGTCCGGAGTCCATCCATCCTTTCATCCTTTTTTTCATTCACTCTCCTTCCCTCCGCCCTCCTCCTCCCTTTTCGCTCCCTTTCAGCTTTGGCTGATCTTGGGATTTCGAGGCTCGCGGCGTCGGTGTTGGCGCCCTGTGGCGTGTGCCTTTTTCCCAAAAGAGGCGCCTCCGAAGATCCCCCAAACCCATCAGAGGTAACCCACATCGAGGGTCTACTTATTGCATTCACATCAACTTTCGGAGGCCTGCGCGGATTTCTTGGATCGGCACTGGACCCTTCTCCCTGGCGCGCGGAGCGCGCCAGGAGCGGCGCCGGAGGCGCCGCTTGGGGCGCCAACGCCGATCCGAGAAATCTGCGCCGTCCACCGGAGGTGTGCTTACGTCGTCATTTGATCCCCGACCAGGCAAACAGACCCCACGATGTCCCAACCAGCGCACGAAGAGGGCCCCGAGCAAGGGTCCCAAGACGGCCCAGGCCAACCGCAAGATGGCCGCCTGAGGGGCCCAAGGCGGCCCAAGAACGCCCAAGAGGACCCAAGGACGCCCCATAGACGCTTCACGGCATGCCCAAGAGGACGTCAACGACGGTCAGCAGCCGATGGCCCGACTGCTTGTGACCCGCCAGAACCTAACTAAGCACGCGCGAAGCGAACGTGGCTCTTGTTTGTTGTTTTGTTTGTGCCCTCTCTCTCTCTCTCTCGCTCTGTATCTTTTTTTTGTTTCTCTCTCTCTCTCTCTCTCTCTCTTTCTGTACACAGATGTACACGCATGTCAAACACTGAAGAGCTTTCCCCTCCGCCCCTGCCAAGTTCGATATGATCGATCCGATTCGATACAGTACCAAGTTCGCCCGTCTCGGTCCGATTCGATCCCGACCCTCCGCCGACCCCATGCGGCCCGATGCTTAAGCCGGGCATGACCCTGCACTGGAGGAATACTCAAAAATAGTTTAAAAACCAGTCTGGGGACGATTTGTTGAGCATGTGTTTGCTATTTGGAGGTATTGTTTTGAGCATGTTTGATTTGTCGGTCAAGCTTCGCCTGTAGGGGGGCATGCCCGACCTACCCATGCGGCCCGATGCCTGCGCGGCCTTTGCCCGGCATCCGAGGCGCGGCCGATCCGGCTCGGCCTCGGCTCGCCCGCGCCGACGGCGGCACCGCTCGGTGAAGGCCCCAGCCCGCAGCGACTCCCTGCCCCGCTCCCCTCCTCCTCGTCCATCTCCTCCTCCTCCTTCTCCTCCTCCTCCTCCTCCTCCTCCTCCTCCTCTTTCTCCTCCTCCTCCTCCTCCTCCTCCTCCTCCTCCTCCTCCTCCTCCTACTCAGTCTGAAGTGTTTTTGTGAGCTCCTGTTGGAGCAGACATCGTGAGCTCCTGCTGGAGCGGATGGTCAAGTATGGCAAGCAGGGCTTCTCCATTTGCGTGCAGTGTGGCAACTGGGCGTGGAATTGGAGGCTCAAGAAGCAGAAGGGGGTGTGCGCTGTCTGCAACACCCCTCAGCCAGGATGGAGTACTACGACGAGCGGCACGTGGTGGGCGCCGTGGTCCTCGGGCGGCGGGTGGCATGACCATGGGAAGTCTAAGCCGTCTCTCGCCAACTTCGGGGACTACCTGTCGAAGGCTCTCGCTGGTGCAGGGCTCGAGGGGGACCCAGACGCGGCGCGCCTTGCGACGGAGTTCAGCACCCTGGCGTCCCAGAAGCTCGCGGCGGCCCCTGCGCCGCCGCCCAAACCCCAGCATGCGCTGCTCAAGGAGGCCACGGCGGATTGCTCTCGCAAGCAGGAAGCCTTGGAGAAGGCCGCGGCGAAGCTGGAGCAGTCCCGCCTCCAGCTCGAGAAGGACCAGGCCAAGTTCGACGAGGCGGCGGACGCTGTCTTGGCCGCTGATCTGTACCGTCTGGAGGTGCAGGAGGCGGCGAACCCGCCCGAGGCGGCCACCAAGCAGTCGGGCTTCGTCCTGGACCCTGGGCTGTTCGAGTGCCCCGAGGAGCTGGAGGAGTCCGACAGGCAGGCGCTGGAGCAGTTCCAGAAGCAGCTGGAGGAGGTCACCCAGCTGGTCGACGCCAAGCAGAAGGAGTTCCAGGACCTGCTGGAGCGTACGAGGTCGGCGCACACGGCGGCGGCGGCCAAGCGGCGCAAGCGCGGCGCCGACGGCGAAGCTGTTGCTGGCGGCGGCGCCGAGGGCGCGCCCGCGGCTGGCTCTGGCGCCGCTGCGGCGCCTGGCGCCGCGGCTGCCGCTGCTGGGCCCAGCAAGGCGAAGGTCGTGGTGCAGGAGAGCGACCAGAAGGCCTTGCTGGAGCGCATCAAGACCTGCGCCCAGGCTCAGGCGCGTGCGGCCGCTGATTGCAAGGCCGCTGGCGCTGGCAAAGGCGGCAATGCGGGCGCTGGCAAGGGCGCTGCTGCTGCTGGTGCTGGTGCAGGCCGTGTTTAGCACGGCTCGCTCCCCGTCCTGCAGGGGGGAAGCTGCAGGCGTACCTCATTCAGAGTCTGATGACGACACGTCTTTGGACATCTTTTTCGGCAACATCACGGAGTGGGGCCCGCAGGCTGCGCGTTTCATAGCTCAGGAGCAGGAGCGCAGCATCGTGGCCCTTGTTGAGACACACAAAGGTGAGAAGGACATGCCAGACATCTGCCAGGCGATTGATAAGGACGGCTGGCGGCTGGCTTACACGGCCGCTCGGCCTTCGGGCAAGTCAGAGGCTGGCTTGTCTGGTGGCGAGTGGATTCTGGCGAAGAAACATGTGGCGACGTCGAGCTTTGAGAGTGCTCGGCGTACGGCGCTCGCGGCTGGGCGCCTGGACCCTTGCCGTGGCTTCGTGCCGACGGTGATTCACACCAAGGGCGGCAACTTGATCCTGATCGCTGCCTACCTCCAGCCAGGCCTCGGCGTGAAGGGCTGGAACCATGACGTGCCGGTGGCGCTGGGGGCGGTCGCGCGCGCGCTCGCGGACCCCTGGCTGGTCATGGCGGATTGGAACATCGAGCCCGCAGCCTTGCGAGGCACTGGTTGGCCCCAGAAGCTCGGCGCCGTCGTGGTGACGCCGTCTTGCCGTGCGACCTGCGACAAAGGGCTTGGGCGTATGTACGATTATGGTCTTGCCAGTGTTGGTTGTCCTGAGTTGACGCTTCGAGCTGAGTTGCGTGTGCCATGGGAGACACATTGTGGGGTGGTGGTTACCGTGAAGGCTGCCCGTTCTCAGCGATGGTATAGGCATTTGGCAGTGCCCAAGCTTCTTCCTGTTCGTGACAGACCTGTTGCAGTTGCTGATCCTGCGAGCAAGCGGTCTAAAAGGAGAGAAGAGCAGAGGCAGAGGCGCATGCAGGCGCTCCCCATCGAGTTCCAGGAGGGCTTCGACGAGTTGGAGCCGCCAGCGCCTCCACCAGAGCCCACTGTGTCTTTCGCCATTCCTGGGGAGACTTGGTTTGAAGCTCAGACACAGGTGCATTGGGAGGGCCTCCCTCAGTTGTTTGAGGATCAGCCAGAGGGTGCCCGCGGCAAAGTTGCAGCTTTTGACCGCAGTCAGCACTTTGTCTTCGAATGGCAATCTGAGGAGCGTGCGCGGCTGGATGAGTCCTACGGCGCTTGGATTTCCACATTGGAGCGTGCCACCTTGATTCACGAGCAGGTCGATCCCAGCACTTGGATGCAGTTCGCAGGTCGTGCTCGTGGCCCTGCTTGCTATGGGGCCAAGGTCACTTCCTC